TGTTAGAAAGTTTGAAGTATTGTGATCCAAAACACACTCCAGTCGGGCAATTTATCTAAACTTTACCAGAAGATGATAGTTTGTTTTTTATTCTAGTACTGGTCTGATTAACAGTGTGGGTAAACACCTGCTATAATCACAAAACCACCAACGAAGGGTCAAATGAGTCTTCCACCACAAACGTTCCATTGCACAAAATGTGATTTACACCACAAAGTAATGAAATAAATCATTTAAAGAGAAAGGGTCACACCTGCACATGCGCGGAAATTGAGCCCCAAATGACAATAACACACGCTAAAAGCGCAAAGACTCATGGGTAAATTTGTTTGTAAACGACGACACATCATGACTGCTTGCCACATGTGCAGGTGACAAGTCCTTCGCTTTAAATAAAGTTGATATTCCATACACCTCTGGGATTAACCTTATACACAATTTAGTTTTTTTAAGGTATTTAATTAACATACCCCGAGATTTGAACTTGATTGCAAAATTTCAAAACATAATTAGAATAACTAACAGAGCACCATACTTTACTCATTAACCACTCCCTGCCTCCTCCCTCCCCCAAGCCTGCAACTGTAACAGAATTTCTGATAAAACCATGTGCATGTAGGTACTAAAAAAAAATGCCCTTACAATTCAGCAAATCAGATTTCACACACAGTGCAAGCTTAATTCTGTTTACCCTCCTTTACAAACAAACAACGCATGATAGATAATAGCAGGCATCTGCCCTGGCAAACTGGTAGAACTTAAAAATAAAATTTACATAAAACCCTTCCGTCGTTTAAGTTAAAATATTTTTTTTTTTTTTAAAAAGATTGCATCTGTGTTATCAAATGAATCAAATCAAATAAAATAAAATAAATCTGCCAAGAAAATCTATTTAAACCCTTCTCTTTCGTATATGCTTTCAATAGCTTGATAAACATTGTCCACTGTGAGAGAAGGCCGAGCCAACTCGACATCATAGGAATAGTCCCGATGTCCGTGATCAACGCCCACCATGTGTTTGTGGCGTGTTTCGCAATAAACACCGGTACACACAAGCACCGATTCCATGGTCTCAGCACACTTCTCCAGTAGGTGATCTGCCGGTACTTCACCTGGGTGATGAGTGGCAAGTGATGTTGTAACTGTTGCCGGTTTCTTGCCCTGTGATGCTGTCAGTTTGGTCTTCAATCCTGTTTTGAGGACATTGATTGGTTTACTAGCCAGGTAGCGGTTGTATAAATTAGCACCATAAATATCTGTCATTGGGTTATCTCTGAAACATAACGATATAAAGCCAGTTAAAAAAATAATCCTTCACATTATTAACAGATATTCAAATATGCACCCATGTATACACTAACAAGCAAGTGCATGTAATCAATGCAAATAATTTTGCTTTTTACAATAGCAAGTTGAAGACTCACCCAATTGCATACAGTGTTCTGGGAGTACTTTCAAGCCCCATGGAGCTAGCTATCTGGGTGGCGACGTGTTCAGCATGATGGTAGGTGATCTCGCTAGGTTTGCCAGTTATAACAGTGTATTTCAGCGGCCGACCTGTAATTTTCTATAATAAAATATACAAAAGTTGTTACAAATACCACTTTTTTGTTTCTTCTTGTACTTCAAGACAATTTTCTCAACATTATTTTATTCAATATGTAATGAAGGGAAAAACGGTCAATATCAACAATGTCACTAAAGCCACAGTCCCTCTGGGACTGTGCTCAAGCAGGCATTATCTAGGTCTTACCTGATAGAGGCTTTCAAGGCAGAGTAGGAATGAGCCATGTCCAAGTCTGTTTGGAATAAAACTTCAATAATCAAATGTTGAAACAAGACAATCATAGGACTCCAACAAAAAATTTCAATAATACTCATCATATTTTTTCTAAAAATAACATGCAATTCACAAGGGATGTGTATATATGGCAGGGCCAGAACTTGGGTATTTTAAGGGTCCAAATTTCATAATAATGAAATAAAATAAAAATTAGGATAAAATGCCTGAAATTGACTTAAAAGTACTTATAGCTCTGATGTGGTCAAAATTTGCTCCATTTTAAGAGCATGTATAAAAATGAGCTAAGTAATGGTCAAAATAAGACATTTTATATATGTGCACTTCTATTAAAGAAATTTTACCATAATCATAATATTTCAAGAGGATTTAGAATGATCACAAATCAAATTTATGGTTAACTAGCAATAACTAGCAAAATGTTAATAAAATGAGGTTCAATGAAATATTCTGGTAATTTTATTTTCAAAACTATTGGTAGCTTTATATGAAAAACATACAAAAGACATACAATTTTTTGTTTCCAGTTCATCAAATTGAAAATTTGAATAAAGCATTGTCTACCTACCTGGGCATGGGTGCTTCAGCCATCCATAGGAGATCCATGTTGCAAGCTAAGATAGGTAAATGTGGATAAGGTATAATACTAGGAGATGTAGAGGGCTGACC